GCGGCGCCTATGAACATGACCCTCTTTGCTGGATTTTGCGCCACCTAGTCTCACAGACTTTCGCCGACGTTTCAGAAGTTCTTACTGCCCCATCATCAAGGTGATGAGTGACTCTGAAATACCGGTAAACTTTGCCAGACTACACGGCGCAACATCCCAGAAGACAGTCATCTTTGGAAATTAGGAACTTCTTAGAGCCAATCTTTCAATTTTTTTCTGATGATAGTTGGCAAATGTGGATGGGATATTTGAAAAACATTTCAAGGCAGTTTTTTTCCCTCCTTGAAGATATGAAATTATGAAGAGAATCCAAGTTTACGTCGTCCCCCCCCCAAAAATATGCCGATATTTCTACTGGGAAACGGAGTAAAACTAATCCTTCATAGCCCATAAGGTTGAGGTGGGTTTTCGATGGAAAGAATCGTGTTTGAATCTTTGAAGAGGAAAGAGGATTGAGGAACGCAAAGTAGATTAAAAAGAAGGGACGACGAGAGAGAAGAGAAATTAGAAAGAAGATACTCTGCAGGGAGACATGAGCAATGGAAGAGAACGATGTTTGCCAGAGGCGGATGAGAAGTCTGCGCGAAGCATATTTTGTGGTTTAGACTGCTCACATAGTGCAGATAGCTAAGCTTCTTTGCTTCAAGTGCAGTAGTCAAGTGGTCAGGTCAGGTTAGGTTAGGTCGTTCAAGTCCCGAACTGCGTTCGCGAGTCTCTGCTACTTCCTGAGACGCATTGGACGTTACGTGGGAGGAACGACTTATCGTTATTTACGAATGAATTTATTAAGTCTGTCGTTTACCGCTTACAAATGGTCGCATGTGAGTTCGTGATCGCGTACGCCCACCTTTTGGATTACACATATTTTTCTTAATTCTTGACCAGTTATACGTGGGCCTTTTCAGTGTGTTATATCGTAGCCCAGAGGTTCTCAACAAGCGGCCCGCGGGTTTGCTTTGTACGGCATAGCGTACGTTTATGAGATGTAGTGTCACTCTGACAAAAAATGGTTCAGCGGATGTTGCAAAACAGATCTTGTTAATATCGTCAGTATTTGGCAGTAAGTGTCGCTATGAGAAAATTGTTCTGTAAAATGAAGACGTAGGGCACGTATCAGTTTGGAACGCAATCGAGTCGCAGCAAAAGTAATTGAACCTGATATTGAATTAGCTATAAAAGGAAAAGCAGTTACAAATATCTTGCTGATGACTGATTTTGCACAAGAAAATTGAGTAATGTAAACCTGCTTGTGCTCGTAAGTTTGTAGCGCTCTTAACAAATTTCTGTGGCGTTTAAATACATTGTCGACGTTTATGACCTTGCGGACTGAAAGTTGTCATGGCTCGTGAGTAATGTGACTCCATGAAATCAAAGTCCAGTCAGGTCGACAATCCGCTATTGCGTGTCTCTGCGGATTCGTATTCGAGAGGTCACCGATTTGAATCTTGGCTTAGAAACCGTTTATCTTGAGACTTTTCGTGGTCTTCCTCGGTTCCTTCATCCAAATTATGAGCAAAGCTGCTAGTAAAAGACCATATCTTAAGGCAATATATTAACTACAGCAATACTGGATATTTACATTCTTCCAAACAGTTCCGTTTTTCCACCTAAAAAATCGTACGTTTATTTGGAACACCTTATGCAGTAGGGCCCTGCATCCAATTCCAGACAAGGGAGGCAAAACCATTGTGGTACCCGCATAATTTTAAGTTAAGAAAACCCTGGAAAACCGAAGCAGACCAACTGCAGAACCTAAATAAGAAAGGGAGCGTAAAGAGGAATGGGTTGGTTTGGTACACACTGAACATTTTTCATTGTCTCACTTTCTTTATCTCCTCCATAACAGCATAGCCATATATATATATATATATATATATATATATATATATATATATATATAAATAATGGTGGCTTTCCCTGCAGCGCTACCAGCATCATTGGTTTGAACTAATCCGTTTATGTTTTCTTTAGACAAGAAGAAAAATTAATTACTGGAGATTCTCTGCCCCATTTATTTGCTCAGAGGAACGTTTTGATAAATTTTCCTATCTGTAATTTGAATCAGGGTACTCTCCCTACAATTTTATTCTGCAATAAAAATGTTGTGTAACTGGAATGCCTTGCATTTTGTCCAATTAGCATCCGCTTTTCATATGTCCAGGTGCATGTTTTGTTGAACACACGAGATGTAATATTTCATGCAGTCGGCATTAAATTTGTGTATTTCTTGCTGTGACTCAAGCGGATGGCACCAAGTATTTAGCCGAACCTTAAATACCTCACATCTCTAAACAGACGAGCTCGAGAAGGATTTCCTTCTTCATCCTGCATGCATTGAGTAGTGTTAGTTTTTAAGCGAATACTAAATATTGTACAAATGGTACAGTCTCTAAGCTAGTTACTAGGGAGACGGAGTGAATTGAGTCCCGTCACCAGAAAGTAGGAGCAAAACATAATTTAACGACAAATTTTTCGAAACGCAACAGAATGCAATTGTTTGCAACAAAGTAACACGTCAGTATGCTATTGGTAATGAAATTAAGGGCAGATTAAGTTTCGGAAATATCTGTCACCGTTGTGTTCATAATCCTCAATCCTCAAATGTCTTATCTAAAATCGTAAGTATTTAAATATTCCTGTTTTTTTCTTGTGAGTGGGAAGAGACCACTTGGAAAACCTGAACGCAGATGGAACTACAAGATTACGCCTGGATTTGGAGAAATTAAATGAAAAGAACTAGCTTATTTTCCAATCGATTAGCTGTACTTTAATAAACCTTTTGAGTTTTAGTAACCGAGCTGCTATCAACTTCCGCAAGGAAACTCTTGAACCATGGAGCTAATTTGTTAGTTTCGAAATGAGCACATCTGTGAATATGATCTGTCGAATTTTCATATTTCGTGTGGATTATGCAATGTGATGTGGAGGGGATATTCATCAAACACAGTGGAAACTCCCAATGAACGTTTGGTTGCTGAATCATTTGGGCGTACCAGATTTTTTTTAATTTTACAGTCTGTGGGATATTATGACAGCAGATGATGGACTGACTCCGTTTTTGTCTCTGATCATTCGGTAGTCATAGCGGACAGATCTAGTTAAATACTAACTCCATGCTCTTTAGTCTTGAGACCGAATGATTTAATGATTCTGTCTTTATTCACTCAAATGCTTGAACAACAAATTCCATTGATTGATTACAAAATACTCCACATACAGAGCACAGTTGCTCAGAACTGCTTACGATTGTCAGTAAGAACAACACTCACACAAATGAATATTTCAG